AGAGGTAAACTATATCTATGCAATCCCGTGTCCCACTGGGCCCCGGTAAGTTCCACGTAGTGGTTCTAGTTTGTTTTAAAAAATATCCGAATACGTGTGAACAGTCTTACGGTCATGGCTTTCAAAGAATTTTGTTAATTCCTAAACTGTTAGGTCCAAAACAATCCCCCTTTTTTGAAGAAAGAGTTTATTTTGACTCTCGCATCACCTGCATATCGTACTGAGGCGTTATTGATAACCTTACCCCGGCTGCGCACTGTATTTATCGGGTCAGTATTTATCATTTCACACTGAGAGGCATTTATTTTGCTGTTTTGGCTTGTTAAGTGAAGCAAATTACAGATTGCAAAAATCATTATGAAATGAAGCTGTTTTCATGATTGTCGCTACTAGGTTCTCGCAAATTCAAACACGCGACACTACTAGAGTCGAACAACAAGGCTCCTTTCATTTAAAGGTAAAATTCTTTAAAAAAAGCACAAGGTGTAGACTTTCAGGTAATCTTTCTTTACACAGCCTCTTGCGCAAGGCACAAAGATTATAAAAGGGATAGACAATTGAAGTTAAAACCGGCATTTCGAGAACACTCGTTTTCAGGTAATAGGAGATACACTTTGACATTTTGATTAAAAAGAAAACATTTTTGGACCTGAATCATTGGCTTAATGATGCTTGGTTAGCTAAAAAAACTGCTCGATAATAAAATTTCAACGATAAGAAAATGAAACTTGAAGAGGATGGGGGTTTGCTGCTCCATAATTTTTATTCCGTAAAGATTGAAGCCTCCATAGTAGGCATTTTAAAGCTCTAGATAAATCGTGTTTATTATATATAATTAATTTTTCGGCTTTGATTTCGAGTATTCAAAATAGGCCTGAAATTGGCTCTCTAGGGTTATAATTTAACAGGAAGACAATTTACCTCTTTTTAAGAGGTTTTAACCTTTAAGTATTTCCTTTATAACTAATTGTGCACGGTGGCACACGTTTTTGCCATGATGTCATCTTAATGGAATGCCCTTTAACAAAAAAATATACTTGCTTATCTTTATGGAATGTACTTAGACTAAAAACAAACCTGCTTATTTGTTTCTGGAAGCTTGTTAGCTACTCATCAATACTAAGACAAAGAACGCTATAAAAGCGTACTGAGAGGCTCAATTAAGTGTTAACTGACGTCGATTAAATGTAAAGGATCGTAAAGTGAGCATTTTGTCCTAACTAATCAAGCTTAATTAACACTCAATCGACCACTAATTTCTCTACATTAATTGCAGAAGCAAAAGGAATTACAACTAGACTATACACAGCCTTCAATTCTACCACAAAGTTTAGCAAGATTTCTAGGCGGTTCGAAACCACGAGATGAAATGTTTAACATTCCGGCGCTGACATGGCAATGACTTGCATTTTGAGTACATCTTTCAAGGTTGTCTAATGTTTGGATTCCATACTGTTTATGTATTGTTAGCACTGAAGTAATTGAATCACGCAACTTTTTTACGGACGGAAAAGGAATACTTATTCCAGTACGGCGATACCCATGTCCTTCACGGTGATATTTTCGAACATACCTTTGACCTTTGATATTTTTTTATTGTTCTTAAAAGATACTATCGGAACGCTTTATAACTAAAAGTACGTGATTGAGATCCTTCAGATGCTGATGTTCTTTGATTTACCAAGAGAGCTCTAAGAGTGCTTGTTAGCTCTTGTATCTGCATTTATCGACTTACTGTCAATTGTTGTCACGAAAAACGTCATACCTTTTTGTAATGGAAATTTTCGGCGTTTTTTCCCCAAGTATGGAACTAATTCTTTGTTTTAATTTACCAAAAGGAATTTTCTAAAAGCCTATTATCTACTGAGTATTTTCATAACACACGACCTGTTTTGGCAGATTCAAAGTTTTAATAGGTAATTTCTGCCCACTTTGCATTCCTTATAAGTGTGCAACACGATCTTAAAAACAGAAATTTATAATTGCAAGTCATTGGGCCGTTAAGCTAGAGCTTATTCAGTCTTATGGCTGCGCACTCTACCGTCAGCTGGCTCTATTTTAATCAGCCGTCATAGAGCTATTTGAAGCGATAAACACCATCATTCCAAAGCAGCCTTGAACCGACTGCCGTAAACTCTAGAGCAACGTTTGTGCATGTGCACCGCGATCGTCGGTCTTAACGTCGAAATATTTCACCTTAACACTGACGTTTTGAGGTGGCCAGTTTTATTTCAGGTAAGTGTTCACTGTTTAGGTTATCAATATAGTGTGTTAATATTTCTTGTTAATGAACGCGTATTAAGTTCTTTTAAAGCCATAAATACTGTAACGTCGAGAACAAATAAATGTACGCCTGCTACTCAGAAGCACTGAAGTGGATTTGCAAACTGTCGCTCGGCTGAAGCCAGCAGGCCGTTTACTTTTGATCTCAGATTAATGCTAAGTTCACAAATATCCGCCATGAGTAAAGCGAAAGTGAAGAAATACTGAAGCTGACAGCGTCGAAGCTCATTGGCACGGCGTACATGTTCCGTTTTTAATCACGTACCAAAGCGGGTAAAAAACAGTAAGTCGCGGACTCTTCGTCTGTGATTTAGGGCTTGACAACCGCCGGATTTGCGCTAAGGCTTCTGCGTTGACAAGTGATCTAAAAGTGCTTATATGCAGAGAAATCGAATAGTCTTCAGGACTAAACAGTTTAATACACCCATTTTCATCTTCTTCGGCACTAACCCAATGATGTTTGCGCGCCATTAAGCAAGTACATTAATAGATCACTCTTTCTTTCGTTGACTTGTATTCAAAACGTGCCCATGATTTCCCGCGGTTTGTTTACAGCTTTTGCATCGCATACTTAATATACCTGTGAGAGCGCGATCTATATAATAATGTGCCTGAAGTGAGCTTTGTTATGCGAATAACGATACTCACTCGCATTGTACAAAGGCGTCAAACTTGCACTCAAACAATACCTGAATCGCTTCGCGCTCAACATGACAAAGAGATCCCTGAAGCATAGGAAATGCTGCTATTGTGATCGACCTTGAGATAAAACTGCACGTTTTGCCGCAGACACTATAAACACCTGGGAAGGTTAGTAAGCCACGTGCTTTGTCATATTGCCAGCTATTTGGTTTAAGGACACGTGCTCAGTTGGTAGAGGACACAATCATTAGCAAAGAAACGTTGAAAGTATACGCCAACTAAAATCGTCAGTTGAAGTCCACTTGCGAAACTGCGACTAAATTGCTGGTTTGTACTATTTTTTATTTTACCTGTTAACAAAAATTCCCATTTTTAGCTACAAGTTATTATACGTACAAACACTAAATTAGTGTTGTGTAAAATGAAACTTATGATCTAGGCCAAGGTTATTCAAAATGCATGTCCTGCGACGGAAACTTTAAAGATTACAGAGAGATTAGCCCTTACTTTCCATCCTGATCTCTTGTAACATCGCTAAAGTAGTGATTTTAAAAGCTTTCCTGGGGTCTGGATGGATGTTAGTCGATCACAACATGAAAACACACGAGTTGAAGCACAGATTATGTACAAGGCGGAACTTATTATACCTTTTATGACCATCGAGTTCTCTCAAAAATAAATATGCTTTTCTATTACATCTCATTAATCTTGGCCACACAACCTTCAGACAGTGCTCCGAATAAAACTTCCACCGTGAAAAATTCAAATTTACATCATTCATTAGAAAGCAAATCTTACGCGGAAGTACTATCAAAACCGATATTTTTTGCCAGATTCTTCCGCTTATCTGCATCGGTGGGTTTCTTTGAAGACTCAAATAAAGAGACTACAACACCTACTGATTTATTACAGCTGAAACGGTTTCGAAATTACTTTCATGTTGAACAAGAAACTTGAGGTTTATATGCGCTCATTAAAAGATATTTCAGGGAAAAATGGAAATTCAGATCCTTATTTAAGACAGTGTTATTATATTATTATACTTTGTATTGCAGTGTTCTCAGAACAAGATATTGTTTTCTCCTTTCTTGCAATAATGGCACTTTTCGACTGTGAAATCCCGATAACAAGACTTGTTCCTTCTCTGACTAGTGACAAATTGTACAACATTACTTAATTACCTGTACTTTAGCGTGAAGCCGGAAACCTTGCACAACCAAGAGTGCACAAAAATTAAAATCAGAACTACTTGTAAAATGCTCGAAAAATTATTTTGGGTTCTCTATAAAAAGCTAACTCATGCACTATTGACTGAATTTTTAAAAGTCGGAAGCGATGACGCACTTTAGCCAAATTTAGACGGTGTGAAATAGCAACAAAATTAAGCGAAATATAAAAACAACTACTTACAACATCGAAGGAAAATTAAACAACACAGCAAGTATAATAGGCAAGGCAAAAATAGACAAAATTGAGGAATTTCAGAACAGAGTGCAACTGGGATTTTTGAAAACTTGTTAGCCTTACTGTTCTTCCAGGTTCACGGATCCCTCTTCTCCGTAACTCTTTAAAATTTATTGTTCATGGGAGACATATTTTTGTGTCATGAAGCTGCCTATCCATTCACATTTTAAGTGCAACGTTAAGTTCCATAGAGAGTGCAAGTCGTAGAGTGATTTATTGGCAATTCCTACACTGCAGCGACACAACTTCTTTAAAAAGAATTTACCAAACAGTGACATCTCTCGCCTACATTAGTTAATAAAGCCAATAATGACAGGTCGCATCACACAGTCAGGTGACAGCCACCATTTCATTCAGTTGATTGGAACCAGTATTAATAATTATTAGTTCTTCTTATTTTCAAAAATATATGGTCCTCTCTTTTCGCTAATTCAGTCGACGCATTTTTGAAACTCCTTTACTTAATGACCGCAAAGCCTTCCATTCATTTGTTTAGGGAAGGATTCAAAACTGCTGAAAACTTCTTGTATGTTTTTGTCAGTATTCCGTACTTGAAAAGGGGTGTTGGCTAGTTGTCAAGGACCTGACTGACTTTGTTAGCGTGGTCCACTAAACTTAATTAATTTCTGGCCAAACTTCCACGATCAATATCACTTGTTTATGAATACACACGACAGGGTATCGAGATTTAACTGGTATTGAGTGATGATACCGTGTTTTATTTTTCAGTAATGAGTTCGTTCTTTTGAATCCGGACCTTTTTCTATGTTAAATCTATTTCAAAGTTGCACTAGCGACTCTGGTTAAAAACGTTCATCTTAAAGGAGCTGCACGCCAAGAAATTCAGCCAAATATGGAAATTACAAAAGAGGAACATAAAAATAACCGCTTAAAACTTTGAAGGAGGGTTAAAATAACATAACAGAAACAACAGATGTCACGGATGGGCAAAACTGAAGAAGACTGAAACGGATTGAAATTAAATTTTTGAAAACTGTTCAGCCTAACGGTTTTTCAAAGTTCATCCCTGCTGCTTGCAACTGCAAAAATAATGCTCAGGAGACATATTTGTTTGTCTCGGGTCTCTGATTTTGTCATTTACATGTAATTTCTCTGCTTGCTTTAAGTTCCATAGCGATTGAGGGCGAGTAATTGGCAAAATTAAACAAAATGAACTGGACTGCCGTGACACAGCCCCTTTCATGGAGCTGCGCGTCACGAAAATATCAAGATTCAAACTGTAGAAGCTGGTACCAAACTGACTGAAACGTTAAAAACTGCTCAAAACATGAAAAGAAGTTATAAATAACACAGCAAATACCGACAAACAGAGTCACGGATGGACAAACTTGAAAAAGATTGAAATTAACTCAGTCCTGAGTGGTGATTGTTGAAAATTTGTAATAGCCTGGCATTTTTTTTTTTTAAGTTGATTTTTCATCTTTGTAACGATTGATATTAATGCTTGGGAGACATATTTCCTTGTTACAAAGCTCTCTTTGTTTCTTACGATTAGGAAGTCATTTCTCACGTAACCATGGCGGATAAGTAAACGTAACTAGCATTATGAAAAAATTAACTAGACAGCCCGGCGTGACAGAGCCCCTTGAAAAGAAATAAGGACCCAGTTTCGGTAAAATTATGACAATGATGAAACTGAAGTATGAGAAGTTTTTTTTTCCAAGTCACTGTTTAATTTAGATTCGGTTTTTGTTTATTCACCTGCTGTAAGTTTGTTTAGTCTGGTCTAACAGCTGCGTGCAGTGAATGTTGCGCCACTTTCGCAGTATGAGGCCAATTATAGGCGAGTTAAAAGATACCTTGTAAAAGCGGATTTTCTAGCTGTTAGCTTAGTCTCAGATCAACCGTGGGATAAAGATTTCATACATGTAGTACTGAACTGAAAGTTGATAACTAGTAAGTTCTTGGAGACAAGTACCAGTGGCATGACTCATTGTGGTGTAGAAACCAACACTAGGACATCAGACTGGTGTTAATACAAGGTAAAATCTGTTAGCTATGTAACGTTTATTCTTTGGTTGATTTCTATGATGCAGCTAGTGCGTGGAAACAGAGGCCTAGCCACAATGCAATAAAGACAGTTTGAAAATAGAAGAACATTGTCTAAGAGCTTTGACTTTTGGCTGTTAACATAGATATAACCATATATGACCATATATCGTTCGTTTTGACGCCACTTGACAACTATTGCACAGATCACTTCAGTCATCATCACTATCTTGATTCGATAATTATAAGAGCAGGAAGCAAATTCTTTGTAAAAGGTTTTTCTGTCCGGGAAACTTTCGTTAGTAATGAAAAAATCATTTTAACGCCGTCGGGCATCCGCGCCAAGGGGCCAATAATTTATTCACACTTTTACATAGCGTTCACTAAAGTAAAGAACAAAAAACAAAAGACAAAGCAAAATCACATGTAACGAAAGTTTTAGTTTTTCACTGCATTTTTCACTTTTCTCATTTGAATTCTGTGAAGTTCTGATATTTTACCCTACATCTCTTTATTTTCCTCGTAACACTGTTACGATAAAGGCTGAATAAATTGGAAACGGGACATCTCAGTTACTCTCCAACAAAGTCTCAAGGACAAAGCACATCAACATAAACCAAAATTTGCGATTAACATTTTTGGGCCAAAAAACGTATTATAGGATTTAATGATGTCAGGGGTTAAAATAAATAAAACGATCGCTAACGGAGAAGCAAATTCCAGCTAAAGGGTCATTGGCTGTACCTGATCGTACATCGATTCAAATAATCGGCGATACGTTGTGGGCGAGAAATGTAAGCTAGTAAGGCATATATACTACAAATCCTTACTGTAAACAAAGGACGGCCACAGCAGGGTCCAAAGTATAAGTCAGATCAAGTTTATCACTCAAAAATGAGGCTTTAACGTCGTATTAGAACAGAAACTAAGAACCCTTCGACGAAAGGTATTACATAGTTGCTGAAAGGTTGAGCAGATAGCACGAAAGACCGTCACGACATGGTTCGAATTCCCACACCGTAACAATCCATTAAGTTCAAACAAGATAGATTGAGTCTAATCTTCCCACTTATTAAGCCATTTTCTTATTCGCCTCACTATCAAAAATAATAAAATATAAAGATTAACAGAATCAACGACCAAAAGTTCAAACCCATACCTCCCACTGCGTGTTAAACTTATTGTCGAGATTAAGGGGGCATTAAGCTGAAGTCTTCGGCTGTTTACAAGTTATTAGCTACAAAACAATTTGTGGAATAGTTTAAATTCATCTTTGGGGTAAGACTTGGTCAGGCAGGAATACAGCAATTAACGAACTGAAAACTGATAAACTAACATAGTCTTATCACCTATGTGTTACAACTTTGAAATGCAATTTCCACCTTATGAAAAAAACAAGTCAATAGCTATCATAATGTATCAATGCTTATATCTCTACTATGAGCTCTTAGTAACTGTTTGAGCACTCCGTATTTAGAAGGCCTGATGTCATGTTTGGCCTCGAAATGATTTTCCAAAGAAGTTTACGTTTAACTCTGTGAAAAACGTTTCATGACTTGGTTGTTTTAACGAAAGGAAATATCACGCCCTCGAAAAGGCGTATAATACCCCACTGGGGGGGATAAGAAAATATCATCACTTTTCCGTGGAAACTACTCAAAAAACGCCTTTCATGTAAAAATCTCTAAAATGCTATGAGGCGAGGACTATTTGATTATTTTGGGGATAAGAACAAGGTTTATTTGATGGTTCGTGTATGAGCAGCGTTTTTCCGATACAAAGTCGTGATATAGTTTTTAAAACTGCCAACCCTATAATATATCTGGACTTGTACGTTTTTAGCCTAAGTCCGTATGAACAGGAAATTCTTCGGCCGGCATAAAGATCAATTTTTCGCCCCTTTCGTTATCAAAATCTGTTCAGTTGTCATTAGAATGGATGACGTCAATCATACGCAATTGCTTGCGAATTAACAGTGAGAATACTTGCGATTGTAATTCTCGAGTTTTCAAATTAAGGCTTAGCACGTCATTTTGACGAAAATACGATACACCCGGATTCTCATCAGAAAAACTACATCGTCTTTAGATTTCTACAAACAACTTTCCTTCGCTTGTCTTTTTGGAGGGATATGAAAAAGCCAGCGAACTCGGTCCGTTTATAAACCTCGATCTTGAGTACATAATCAGAAATAAAATGTTAAACTATTTGAATTTTCTAGATCACTAGTATCAACTGATTTTTCCTCCGAGTCCATCGAAAGTTCGGCCTGCAAAATGTTCACCCTTCGGGTTTACGTCCTGTAGAAATTGTTTTACATCTGATGAGTGACTTTTTATTCAAGACTATACAAGTATTTACATGCAGGTTCATAAACCGTGTATAAAACCGCAAATATTCGATGTAGAAGACAATTTGGTAACAGGCCACCTTTGTCAGAAGGTCAAAACATTGTCTGACATTGTGTTGTCTCTGATAACTTCCGACATCACCATATCCTTAAATTCTTTTGCAGATAACATATAATATTTAGGATTATGAAGCCGGTTTTACAAATTTGAACAGGTCGACGCCGGTGGAAGGAGATTTCACTGCAGCGTACTAATCGCGTAGTGAACGAAACTCAAGTCAGCCGTTTACATTTCACAAGGTAAGCACTATTTTGGCTTGTAGCCGGTATGAGAGGGTAATCTTCTATTTCTACATTCTGACTAAAGTGCATTGACCTTATGAATCTAGCAACGACGTACGCCTTTCGGCCAGCAAGCATTTTGAGGACATTGGTGAATTTACCGGCTAAGCACTAATATGGGCCTTATATAGCATATTCGTCTTAGTAGCCTTGCTTCGCTGAGTTTAAGCTTCATGCACTTAAGACTGTGGAAATTGTGTGCAGGATCAGTGCATCCGTTTAGTTGCTCAACCAAAAAGTTGAGCTTCATCTATTGCGCCATTATTCATGCAGCTTCATGCGAAAGCCTTTGAATCCAGTTGAAAAGCTGCTTAGTTAAAATCGTTAAGACTTTTCCAGTGTTTGCTTCACTGATTTTTGTCGACTTCGAATCCAGTACAATAACATTACAGAAACCTAACCGCAGCCTTGCAGTTTTCAACTACCTATTTTCACTTCCTAACCTTGGCTTTAATTTGGACGTTTTGTCGGTTTTAAAGGGCATTCCGTTTTGTTTTTCTTGTTTTTGTTTTTTGTCTTTTTGCGTCAGTCCTTCCTGAGTTGGGGTTAAAATTATCGGACTAACCATACATGTATTGTTTGCTTCGCAAATGTTTGTCAGTCGACTTTCAAATCTAGCAAAACATGAAAATACATAATGAGCTTACTTATATCTGAACTTAAACTCAGTCTTTCAGTTTTATGTTACCGATTTTCCCTCTGTTAACCCAGATTTAAATAAACACCTTTGGTTTGTGATGACAAAGCATTTTCTATCAGCAAGGCAACTAGTCAACATAAACTTATACTCGACTTTCAAATTTGAAGTTTTAGCTTGATAATATAATTACTCCATTCTTGCTCAAGGAGAAAGTTTGTGTGAGAATCCAAACGTAATTAACTTAGCCATATTATTTTACGCTAATAATTCTCGATAAAAAGGACTTACAGAGGCACGAAAAAACAGCAGAATCTAAGAAATTCGCACGAACATAGAGCCATCTAATTAAAAAGGCCTTAAATCGGTCGTAAAAAGGCGATAAATCGGTCGTAAGTTCCCCCAAAACCTATAATGTAACTTATGTACACGCAGGTCGAAAAATTGGATTAATCAATTTATGATGTATCTGTTTGATTCTGGCCAGTATAAACTACGAGTTTATGTACTTATAAGTTTCTACCCTGACTCATGATCCAATACTTAAATAAGCTTAGACGCTCTGGATAACATGGCCGATATTCGCCATGCAAAATTGTTCCATCACTAGAATCCGCCGATAATACAACGGTATTGGGGTGTTCTGCTCTAAGGAACAGTAGTTACAACGTGTTCCAAACTTGACGCACATCTTTCCGACGGTCTTTCCCGCAATCTTCGCAGCATTTTTCAGCTAGTTTTACAAAACGCAAAGGGAAGGAATTGTATTTGCTATTACGGGAGTAAGTTAAATCTGAGTATTGCTCAATTTTACTGTAATTAGGAGGTATCATCGTTCTGGTTGTTTCTTCGTAAGGAACGAGTTTTGCAGTGGGCTGTAAAAAAGTGGGAACCATCTAGCATTATCACCGCTTTAGCATGGTCGCTGCCTTTGTCGCATCACTTGGAGTTCACGGACCTTGTAGGTCTTGTCTTAAGCAGTTTGAGAGACTTTTCGAGAAGCCGATTTGATGGCGTCGATTATTTACTGTACATGGGCACGGAAAATTACACCATTTCGTGTGAAAACTATGGCCGTTGTGGTGAGGTTTCAGTCAGGAAATTTGAGGGTAGAATCGGAACTGACCTCTCAAACATTATCACCCCTACAAGTTTTGGGAATTAAGTATGGCCCTAAAAAGAGGGAGCCACTTGAGGCAAAAGTTGGACCGCATAGACTATCTTGACACAATGCGCCGATATGATTGAGGATCGGTTTATCCTCAGGCCACACACAGGCTTTCTGTTCCTTCTAAACACTGAAGCACTCAGACACTTCTCTTCCACTAACAGTGCGGACAACACCGCCAATCATCGAGCTGACGAAAGTTGACGAAGATAAGCATCAGAGAAAACGCTTTCCCGTCACTGTGAATATGAGCTTTCCTTTACTAGAGTTGTCGTGATCGTCGAAGAAGGGCTTAAGTAAAACAATGGTATCTTTGACAATTTCATAATCTTTGAAACAGCTGGTAGAATAGTTGTACCAGAGCTAAGCAGAGCACACAAGTAATTTACCCCGACTATTTTTACATTTAGGAAAAAGACGAACTCAAAGCATCTTTCAACGGACACCTCCAACGCCCCACTGAAACGGGAATTAAGAATTGGTCCCTGCCGTTTTTCAGTCACTGACTATCTGTAAAGGGCACACCTTTTTAACACTTTAACTCCAAGGAGAGACAAACATCAATCTTAACAATACCAATACATAATCAAGAGAAAGGTTTATGAGAATTAACAAAATGATCACCTAAGGGAAAGTAAATTGATTTTTTATCAAGTTCTCCCACCTTATTCTTCAAGGAAATGCATGGAGATTAGTGTGGAGAATTTTTATGTGGATACGGCCAGTCCGAACTGTGCCCGCGCGTCTTAGCGTGAGATGACTAATCCATCTATTATGCTCTTTATTCGAGGTAGGCGGTCAGCGTGTTTTGGATTATTTGTAAGCAAGAAATAAAGAAAGGGTTATATAAGTGTATACAAACACCAAAGTACAATGTACTTTGTTTAATGATTTCGAGGGCTTTCCGTTAATAAGATTTGAGCAATTGATTGTCTGCCGCCGAGATCGCTAGTCACGGCAGATCTAATTGAGAGCCCAAAATACACTTCGCAGAAACAAGGCCATTAATAAAGTAGAATTGAGAACCGGTTCGGTTTGAAATATAGGTCATTTGCATGGCCAGTTGAATGATTTTCTCATACCACTGGGTCGAGTTCCAGGAGGTTCAATCTGTTGAATAGTTTGAAATGATAGCATACAAACAAGAATGAATGTAAAATTCCAACAAATCGGATCACAGATTGCAATCACTTTCCTTGTTTCTTCAGACTATTAATTACTGAGTTTAAAGCTAAGATTATGAGTGTATGGAGCTATTATGAAACTTGAGACACTTTTTTTTTACCAATAAAAGTAGTTGAGGACTAACCTCGGGCAGTTTCCTATTCCACAGATAAAAAAAGAAAACACTAACGCTTCCAAAGTCTATTTCATCTACAACCCACCCACATTGGTGTGAGATACCACAACCACGCTATTGCAAACATGTCCGGAAAAAAAAACTATAACCCTTGACCATTGAAAGAAAATTCTCTGACTCAGTTGCCTGTCGTGTTATTGCCCAACAAATATGGAAAAGAAGAAACGGTCCTATGTCGTGATACATAAAATTTACTTGAACCTCGTACTTGCGCTACTGTTCACATGTTAATTTCGTTTGAGGTAGACAGCAGGTAGTCTGTTATCGTGTCGATAATTTGAAAACGATTCACAGCCGACTCTCAAGTCTTCCAATTAATGGTCTAAGAAGGAACTTTGCTCCATTTAAAGTACTTAAAGTTGATAAGATTTATGCGGACCTGCAGTGAGTTGCGGCCGATCAGAGGTTTGCTTAAAAACGCAAACGTTTCCCTGCGGCATCCTGAGAAACAACGCCGGAAATTAAGTGGTTTATTAAGAACTGAGGATTTTGCCCGACTACCAAAATACGAAAATCCTATGAAATCGGATTGCAAATAAGATTTCCTAATACCATGAATTCCACTGGTTTAAGTGATTTCATACTCGATCATGAACTTGTCGAGAGCAAGAACGATAAGCAATTTGTACAGTAAACGGATGATCGACGTTTAAGGAAGAATGATCTCCTATTCCGCACGGAGGATGGTAAATCGGAGCAGAGAAATCATCGTCCGATTTTAAGGAGTAAATTAACCATTCTTACTTTTAACAGTTCTTTCCTAAAAGTGTCAAAACGTCAAAATTTATCAATAATTGCAGAAGTAGGTTGAGTATGATCGTCCGGGTGAACGTAGTCCTGAATAGGACTATTGTTGTTGACAGTGACGGACGTTTCGACAACCTCTGCGTTAGTCATCTTCAGAGTCAAAGCGAGTTGTATCACGTCATTTGATGGTATTAAACTCTAGTTTATAATTTCCAAGTTCCAAAGTCTACGAATACTTATTCTAGCCCTTTGGAAACTCAACGGTTTTGTTTCAAGGAACGGAAGCTTTCCACCGTGTCCCGTCTTCATTCAGCGGAAGAAGCAGTGGCTGAATGTCTCAATTAACAAGTGGTAGCTAGCATATGGCGGGAAGTTCGTAACCCCACAATCTGCATTTAGGGTTGGACGCTACCGTCTGTTTTAAATGACATTAGGGAGCTTAAGCAGCGACGTTTTTGAGCGACGCACGTCAACCGGAAATGGACGTTTTGCACTCTTGAGCCGTGATTTTGAACAAATTTTTGGGCAGATCGTCTCTGTAAGAATTAAGACACTTGGCAATATAAATACGGTAGCGTCAAGGCTTATTAAAAGAGGAAAAGGCTCACTTCCGGTTGACGTGCGTCGTTCAAAAACGTCGCTGCTTAAGCTCCCTATTAGCTATTAGGGAGCTTAAGCAACAACGACGGCGACGGCTACGAAAACGTCACTTGAAACTGAAGTAAAATTGCACTACTTCAAACTTTATTACGCTTATTCCATCTCATTTAATTCGTCAAATGTTGACAGCAAATTTTTCTGGAGCTGAATTTTAGAGGGCTGTAAATTAGGCACTTTCACGTCGTAGTCGTTCAGTGACAACGAAGAAATGGACAGAAAACGTGATGCACGTGCAAAGTTGTATTTTTTCTGATGCAAACCTAAAGTCTTTTAGCCGTTCTCGTTACCGTCTCAGTTGTCGTCTCCCGAATTCTTGATTCCGAAGTCACTTGCAGCTGTCACGTGATCGAATTGAGATCACTTGACGGTAAGTTAACTAACAAGAAGTTAATTATAACCAAAACTGTCAACAAGACTGCAATAATTTGCATGCTTTCTACACAGGTTTGTCCAACATGGGACACAAATTCAACAAGCTATGTACCGTTAGATACCTCTTAATGCTCACCTCTCTCACTGGGATCCTCAATCTTGTATATCTGATGTTCCTTGCGGACATAAAAGGAAATCTGGAACTCGACACATCACAACGATTCTCACCAGTTGTGGTTAGAAGGCAAATTGCTAGCGTTCAAGTTGATTCTGAACCAAAGGTTGTTGCCGGATCAAGCTTGAGCTACTTGGAATTACTAAATTTGGAGTTAAAAGACATCGTCCAAAGATACATGACTTCTTCATCGACGATTTCTAAGCACTACGAGGTAAACAATTTGCGGGATAGCAAGCTGCCACAACAGGAACACGTTTATGGCTCTTTCGTTCCACGGTGTTCACCGACGCCATTCTTGTTGATTTTGGTCCATTCAAGCCCCTTTAACTTTATGGACAGGGAGTCCATTAGACTGTCTTGGGGGCGCGAAGACAATCCCATTAACCAAGGCAGTTGGACACATTCTGGAAGGTAAATACTTGAGTCAGTGGAGAAAAGAGATCTGTAATGAATGTTTCTGGAGGTGAAACGATGCAGTTCGTATGTCATTCGTATGTCACAGAAAAAAAAACCCTTGCTCACCATAGTCTCGTGTGACTCAGTGGCAAGGGCATCCGACCTCACAATTCTGAATTTTTATTCCGGGCCGGCTCCCTGTAGTCGATCGGGGTCATTATACCTACCCCTCCCCTAAGCCAACATTTTGCCCTAAGTGAGAAGTAAGTGTTAACGTTGTGTCAGGGGAGGGGTAGATGGGCAGTTTCCCAGAATCGTATAATGATCCCGTCGATTCCTTTTAATGTGATGGAGAGATTAACACAACGTAACATCTTGGGGACAGCCTTGTGATAGCTGGTAGTTAAAGTATATCACATAGAGTGGTGACGTAAACATTTAAGCAAGTTCGCTGGGCATATAGAACTTTATAAACCTTTTTTCATATGAAATGTTCTTCGAGAAATAAGTAGAACTATATTATTATCATCATCATCATAAATCTGTTATTTAAAAATTTACTCACCAAGTCCTTTCTTTCAGGTCATGGAAAACGGTTTTTCTTGTTGGTCTAAGCAACAGTTCCAGGCTCAACAACCTACTAAAGCAAGAAGCTCAAGTGTATAAAGACATTGTTATAGGAGACTTTCTGGACACATACCGAAATTTGTCTCTCAAGACACTCCTCGGACTACAGTGGTCTTTGCAACACTGCCAGGCGACATATATTCTTAAAACAGACGAAGACTGCTTCGTCAACATCTTATCATTCCTACAGTGGCTGCAAGATTATCACGTGACCAACGGTTCCAAGGCATTATACGCGGGAAATATCCAGGAGGATATGGAAGTAGTGCGTGACAAAAAACATCGTTATTTTGTATCTACCAAAGACTTTAGCAAACATATGTATCCGCCATACGCTTCCGGAGGCGGGTATGTGTTTAGTGGAGGCCTTCTACAAAAACTGTTGGCAGCATCACAGAAAGTTCCTCTTATTCCAGTGGAAGATGCTTGCATTGGACTATACATGCAGCGCATCGGCGTGAAACCAGTCCACAGTACTAAAATATTACCTTTCGTCTTCTGTGATAGTATGAGGCATAGTTTAAGTGAGAGACCCATTTGCCACTTTCGCGAGCCCCTTGTGCTACATGGCATTAGAGACATACTTCATATACAGACGCATTACAACGTCCTGTTGATGACTTTCATCCCAACAATATGTTCGTATGTAGACAATCAATCCTTTAGTAAGAAATTCAAGTTATCCTGTTAAAGTGTCCACTACTATAAATAACAAAAGTTGTAATAAAATCATTTATGTGTACGAGGTGTCACTACTAGTGGCATATTCAAGCACGGTATTAGGGAGCTTAACCAGCAAAGTTTTTGAGCGACGCACGTCAACCGACCGGAAGTGAGCTTTTTTTCTTTGCTCTTTTAATATGCCTTGACGCCACCAAATTTGTATGGCTAAGTGTCTTTAATCTTACAGAGACGATTTACTTAAAATTTTGTTTAAATCGCGGCTCAAGTTTGCCAAAAGTCCACTTCCGGTGATGTGCGTCGTTCAAAAACGTCGCTGCTTAAACTCCCTATTCCCTGTTACTAACACCTACTTAGCCCCACGTAAGGTAATACAAGATAGTTGGGATTCTGCATTCCACGAGGTGGATCCCTGATCTGACCCTGTGGATTCCGGATTCCAGATACTTGGATTCAGGATTATTATACTTTTCCAAATTACTTAGCCAGATTCCTGGAGCTGTATTCCGGATTCCAAAGCCCAGAATTCCGGATTCCACAAGCACATATTACCCGAATTTCGAAATCCAGATAACCTTACATGGGACGACCTACTCTCAACTTCTTCTTACATTGTAACAGACGCGTCTATAAAATGGACAACTCCATCTCTAAAACGAACACCTATATACGTCTCTAAACCAAACCAAACTAACATTATTTAGAGAGACATTAGATAGCTCGAAAAACTGATAACTTGTGACTAGTTTCTCAATCCTTTACTTGAATTTGAGAGATGCCAACCTATGTTAGATCAACCTCAAACTCTCCGATACAAATACAGTCGACTCTTTCTCAACGAACACCTCTATAAGACGGACAAGTCTGTAAAACTGCCGCCTGGTTGGATCAGCTGGGAGAGCGCCGGTCTGCTGAGCAGGAGGTCACGGGTTCGCACCCCGGCCGGACCAATACTCAGGGTCTTTAGATAACTGAGAAGAAAGTGCTGCCTTTGTAATGACATCTGCAAATGGTTAGACTTTCTAGTCTTCTCGGATAAGGACGAAAAACCGTGGGTCCCGTCTCACAGCACTTACACTTAGCTGGTTCTTGTGGGACGTAAAAGAACCCACACCACTGTTCGAAAATAGTAGGGGACGTAGAACTCGGTGGTGTGGTCAACCTTCACACATCACATCATTCACATCATGGGTTGGGTAGGTACAGTAAGCTCATAAATAGACCGAGAGCGGCTGCCAGTGGCGCCTTTGTATGCTGACGTCCGAGCTTAAAGCTCACATGTTAAAACGTATTGGAAGAGGGTACGTCTGTTGTCCTCTCATCCACTACTCTTCATTAATTCAAAACGGACACCTAGAGTTGGTCCCTGTCTTTCTTTCCTCCCTTTAACTTTCTATAAGACAGACACGTAGTACCGGGCCCAAAGGTGAGAGTTGGTTGTAGCTACTTCGTGGGAATTAACGATCTTTCCATAAGCGAAAGCCGATAAACCGGTCTTTGAATAAACGCCCTAGAGATGGTCCCTTCCTTTATTCTCTCTATGAGGAACTCACTATCCTACGTAACAGGTGCATAAACAATTTAGGGCGCAGAAGAGGGCGGACCCCTAGGGAGGAACCGCGCGCGACGTGTGTGTTCTGCTCTCTTGCGCGTATCGTTTCTTTAGTCTGGTATAAGGTTTACACAAAGGCACCATCGACGCAAGAACGGGCGCGCACGAGACAAGCGCTTGCGCAGTACCGTCTTGATAATTACTTCCACTGCGCAAGCGCGAGTATAACGAAGTTGTGAGTGCGGTTGAGTGAGCGTGTAAAAACAGCAATCTCTACACCTGAGCCTGGAGGCTTATGGTGCACATAACATCCGCAATAGTGAAGGGCTCTGGCTTGGAGAACGGTGAAAACAGATCCAACATTTTGGGAGTAAAAAAAAACATCTCAAAACAATGTTGAGAGGGGTCTACATTCACAACATTCTTTTAACAAATGCTGTGTGACAACAGGAAACGGTGTCTCCCTTGGAAGATGAAGTAGAACTTCTTTCTTTTTAGGTCTTGGGACTTAATGATACGATTATCAAAAGAGAATTTTTTTTATTATTATCTGTCAAATAACTTGTCTAACAAGTAGTTCACAGGTAATTTCTCATTGAAACAAAATATAAATAGCACTTTCTTCCTACAGCAATTTAGCTTTGAACCAGAAATCTACCTCGAAACTATTACATGTACAACACGTTTCTCTAGTAAAAAGCGCGTTTTAGTCAATCAAAGCGCACATAGACAGTAGCCTATACAGAGCTGGAAATAACATGTCAGACGAAATCTTAACGGTGGTCGGAGATGATGTCCAGACGAAGTTCATACCAGTAGATCATTTTGCAGATGAATAAAATCTACCGTGAGCGCAAGTGAATTGTTAGCCTCCCACGCAGGCGTTTTTAGGGGAGCTCGTTTTTCATCCCTCCTCACATGTGTGGGAAGGGATGAAAAACGAGCTCCCCTTAAGACGCCTGCGTGGGAGGCTAGTGAATTGTCGGACCGACGACGTAACATTGTGGAAGTGAATATACAATAGTAACCGATCAGTCTACTTGCCAATCCCGCGCCTGCCCGGTCGTTATGGAAACGCGTAATGCATCCAGGATCGAGTCTGACCACAATTTTGCTTTGTCCGACCAAACTAGTAACTTAGCCGGGGACTGTCTTTTCAAGAAAGAAAAATTATTTCCAGCTCTGAGTCTGTACTATAACGTACATTATAATATTACCCTGTTGTTAGGTATTTTACTTGACATATCTGAACCGTTCTGGGACATGCAGAGAATATAAAGAAATTGACTTTTTATCACCAATTTAGCAAAACTAAAGTTTGAAGAAATATACAGCAAATACAGGAACGAATCTTAATTTATTCTTATCTTCCTCAGAGTACTTAAGGTAAAAGCCCGGAAAAAAGCAACAATTCTGTTATGGCTACAAACTGACTGGCAAAGAACTCTCAGAAACATCTTGAGAGTTCAGGAAAATGTTTTCTATGTCACTCCTTTTGCTTTGGAAGCTTTTTCCTTGCCGCAAAAGTGATCCTTGATAAAACATCAAAGTGCTGGGCAGGAGGACATCCTCGGTCAAGAAACATACTGCAACGTCTACAAAATTGGAGCCAGAAATCTCAACATCTTCATCTTTGAACACGAAGTTAAGCAATAGAGCAGATCATGGTACAATGCAGTTAAGCCACTGCCTGGCTTACTATAACCAGTAATGAACCTTTTGACAACCTCGCCATGTTTGTTCGCAGCTCTCATGATGCAGCAGGGCTTAGTAAGCAAAGACAAAGGCCAACATTCTAGTTCAGATCTTCTTCAAACAGAGTCAAATATCAGACATCTAGCCAGCCTTGTCTAGCCAAATTAAACAATGCGTCCAAACTTCCATGAATTTTACGCTCCCAGACACCGAATAGTGCCTTCAAATAAACAATACAGGGCAGAGAGCGCATCCACACATCATCTTTGTCGAGAACGATTGATTTCCTGAAGTTGATATACAAATATGTTTCCATTCTGTATTATTGGAGAAAGCTCCATTTTTACTGAAGATCGCTCGGCTCATGAGTTAATGTACAAACGCACATATTGTAACCTCAATGACCCGTCTTTTACCGCTCTTAAAATAATAAATAACACTTGAAAATCTTGAGGACATGGAATGAGCCGCCGTTTATTTGCAAGTGTGCCGATCATAAATTCGCTGGCACGTTTTGCAAGTCACGTAACAGCACCAAACAAACTTGCATTGGCACCTGTTTACTTCACGCACTACCTGAGTATTGTAACCTCCCCCACAACACAGGTCATCGCATCGGTCTCTTCCCTGAGAGGTCTTGTTACACACTCGCCCGGATGTCCCAAGAATACCCAGCTTGGCGTTGGGACTGCAGTAGTTGGGCGAGCTGTTGAGGTACACCAGCGTGTCCCTTGATATTCGGACCCTTTTGTTCTCTTTCCTTCGGAGGCGCCTCTTCTTTTTGATGACCATCGCTTCGACGGCATCGTTATACTTGGCTTTTAGAGCATCGCCGACTTTAGCAAAGCTTGGTGCAGTTTTCCAGCAGGTCTTCACCGCACAGGAGCCTGAAACACCATGGCAACGGCATTCATTGCTGACCAAACTTTGTACTGCCTGTATGGACAATTGTAAACAATTGTGAACTAAAGGTTATCAAATATTATCAAACACTCAAACATACGGAATCAACCAAAGCTTAGTCCACATTCCAACTAGGTTATTCTTGACTAAGAAAAGTGAAAAGAGAGTGAAGAGAGCAGTGAAGGGAAATTTTCGTCATGCGTGATTAGCTGTTTTTATTTTTCGTGAATCGTGAATTTAGTAAATCATTCTTTTTCCGTGACCAAAAAGCTGAGCGTGCCCCGAGAAAAATTCCTGTTGGTAGTCGATTTGCGTGATTTCATTACTTTTTCTTTTCTCGTGATTTTCAGTTTCGAGACCTCCGGAAGATGAAAAAAGACGTGCTGAATATCATGACTCCAAAACTGAAATGAAATTTTGATTTTCGTGATTCGGGATTAGTTATTTTATTGGTCAAAGAACCGTGTCAGAAACCGTGTAGAACAAGGTCATTGATACAAGATTATATGTAACACGCACATACTGATACAACAACAACAAGTTTATTCAGTATTACCATTTTGTACAGGTGTTGCCGATTAAAATAACAATAATACACAGCTAAATTTAAGGAAATGAAGATATGATGGAACGGTAGAATTAACTACGTTTCTTTCGTCTTTCAATCTACAATTGTATCCTCTGCTGGTGCTAATAAATGAAGCTGTTGTTGATTGTTTTTACGTTACCGTGTTTGCACCAAGAGAACCACCACAAAGCTAAAGCCTACACGGCCCACAAAGAGCTAGCGCTCTGAAAGCAAGCTTCTGAATACCGTTATGGTGCACTTCAAAAAACCAATAGGTTTGATTAGCAAAGCAACAACTCTTCACGAACATCATGCTTTTTTGCACGACTAAACCGTGCAAAAGTCTAATTTCACGTTTTGTGGAGGACACGAAAAAGCCATGGCAAAATTTTCTTTTTCCTTCTAAACTTCGATATGGTTCTTAGAAATTCAACTCAAGGAGAGTTCGCCTACATGTACATCTGAAGATTGAAAGAACTTTTTAAGCGACGTTTCGCTGCCGGTGCCGTCCTCTGATCTTAAGGTCCGTAACTAACGCAGAACCAACAGACACTGAGGCAAACGCAGAGGCGTCTAAACTTATTGCCACTACGTCTGGCGCCCTTATTAAAATGTCTAAAAGGTTAAGATAGCGAAAGAGCAAAGAGGAGTCAAGTGAAAAAGAAGTGTCTTTAGTGCTGGTGTTTGCGCTTATAAATTTGACAAATTTGTTTTTCCTTGTTCGCACGTGCAAAGAAGCATACACACATATGCTAACTATCAAGTAAAGGATTCTATTTCATTTTCTAGGTCGTGCTCTTTCGCTTGCTTCGCGGCCTGGACTCGACGTTCGGACAGTGTAGGTCTAGAAAACTAAGACCTAACTACAGGCAAGCTCACAGTCCTTACGCGTAGTTTCTTCTTCGTGCGTGTAACGCAAAGATTGCGGTGTGTATGTTTTTAATTTCAACTTGAAAAACATTAATAACGCGGAAACAACGTAATGATATGAGAGCCGAATATCGCATATTGGTTAGGAGGTCAAATGAGCTGTCACATATTCCTAATTAATGAGAGACGTTCTAGCTGATGCCTATCAGTGTAAAATCACGATAAAAAAAATAAAACTATACGAAATGCATGGAGTTCAGCACTTCAGTCACGACTCAATTATCCCAACAAGGTGAATCAAATAGGAAAATGAAATCGAAAGAAAGTAGTGATTTAACATACGTGAAGGCTTTCGAGAAAATTCTAGATTGTATAAATAGTCTTCACGGATTTCTCGCCAAAAAATCATTTTCCCTGTTTAAGGCAGAGAGAAAAGGGAGCGAAAATTTACGAAGCGTCTTGGGGTTTTTGCCTGAGATTGTAGCTACACGTAAAATTTACCAGTCACTCTGCATGGAAAAGTTTCAAGTCGTGGGCATTTCAACATAATTTGAGACCACCCAATCCGGCCAATTTACAAAGAATCTATTAAGAATCGTTCGAGAACCATTAATCTTCCAAAGGCGTGGTTTTCTGGTGGTTTACAAATCGAAATTGTGACCTCACGTGCTAATCTGCTATCAATTTTTGTCTTTTTAAAAAAAGCGAACTGCGGTGCTAGCCTTTTCCCAGCACATAACTCTTTAAACAAACCCTTATAAATAGACTCCAGCTACATCGAATAGGAAACAAACTCGTGTTTTTCCAATTGCTTTCACCGATCTGTACTGGCGCCTCACGATTTTAAATCTCCGTTATCGCCCACCTGCACGAAAAGTATTGCAACCCCGCTATTTTAAAACGCACCATTTTACTCTGGGCAGCGCGCGTTATCAGAAACTCTGTTTAAAATAGTTTAGTACGGATGCAATAGGCCAATATTTACGGATTCTGCTTAAAGGGATAGGAGACTCAAAACCTCACGCTTCTTCGATTAAGAATGGCGCATCAGCACAAAATGAAGATGACAATGGAAAACCCAGTAAAACGTGGGATAAATCAGTATACAAAAACTTTTATCGTTCCTTTACCTGTTGTTTAATATAAGAGGATGACGTTTCAGAGGACCTACTTAGTACAAAATTTCACAGACTTACATAATTTATTGAACAACTTTTCGTTCACACGCTCTGGTTTGTAAGTTGTACTCAGTTAAATGTTACTCATGCCGCTATTCAATCCTTCACTGCCTCTACAAACATGCTTAGTTATTGTGTAAAGCCTTTTTAGTATTTTATCTGCTAAAGTTATTGTGTAGAGGGTGAGTTTTTAGCCAACTCCTTCTACTTCTACAGGACGCTCTCTCTCAATTAACAGTAGCGAGGAGTCACATTGGTAAGAACATGGCAGGAAGTGTTGAATTGCGCAATCATCCACACCTAAAGCCCGGCAAGAATAACTCGGTTATCACAAAACCGATAAAACGTTTATAGGCAGTTCACAAAAAGATGCGTCCCCGCGTATTTCAAATACTAAAGTTTGTCAGTTCTGCCGCCTATGACTGAGAAAACACAAAAGACTTTGTAGGGAACAGACACCAACATCAGGGTTGCTTTTATATTTTATAAAGCAATTCAAAATTCGCCACGCCCACAAGAAAAGTTTCGGAAACAACTACAATACAAGAATGACTTTACACCCAGCAAGGGTACTGGCTAGATCAAGCAATCAATTAGGCCTACACGGAAGCGAATGTTTACCACGTTAAAGAAACAGCAAAACACAGAATTAAACACGTAATTATCAATTTCCCTTGTCACACTTTCGTGTGTTCCGCGCGATTACAGTAAATGCCGCACCCGAAACATTTAATATCATGACGGCTATGATGATAATTACGCCGGCACCCAACACCTCACCCAGCCGACCCCCATATTTCCGCATAACTGGGTTGTTCGGTTCTTTCCAGTATATAAGTTAACAAAGAGAGGTGAACAAATGGAGAGTAACGAAGATGCTCCTTCAAAAGCAAAATAAAAGAAAAAAATGGTTGTGGGGCATAAACAGTAGGAAAAAAAGAACGAAAATTTCAGCCTGGCCTGGCTCATAGTGCGTTGATTAAATGCGCTACCTCACTCTCACAGAACTATGATTTACACAAAATTTGGTTTGGGAACGTCACTAAAGATGAAGGAGAAACCATAGATTCATAGACAAATGAACAACATTTCTAGAGACTTTGTAGGAGAAAATAATACCACGAGAAAGGTTTTGAATTACTGACTAATAACAACAAATTGCTATGGGATTTGAAGACGTAATAACAAAGTCATTTTCTCCCGGATCAAAGAAGGTTTAAGCGGTAATTGTTAATAGCGCATCGCTTACGTTCTGCTTTGAGTCGTGTGAAATACCAAACAGAAATTGAGTTCTCAACAGGAATACTGCTGCAGTTATTTAATAAATGGATGAATGGATCGCAAACTGTTTCTATTCTAATCCTAGAAAAATACGGATACAAATCTTGACTACGTAAAAAAGGCCGAACTAGTATACGTGTCGCACGTACTTCAAGCGGCAACAAATTAAACAATACGCAATATCCGACGTACCGCTTTCCTTGCCGCTGTTTTAACATCAAATCCCTCCAAAGTACACAAAAATCGAATTAGCATCGGTCAGGATTTGACAGTACAATGTTGTTTAACGAATCACGTACCACAGTGTAGTCAAAAGAAGGCTATTTATTCTATGTTTACGAGATCTCAACAACCGAAATCTTAAAGTTATTAGTCACATAACGACAAACGACTACAATTATGAAATGCTTCAAAACAATTGCAATACAACAACCCTTTTAAGTTCTAGAGCACGGAGTACGGCTGTCCAACTATGTAAACATCGGTTAAACTCCTCAGAAAACATCGTTAATCCTTATTTCACATGTTTATGAATGACGCAAAAGGATAGTCACTAGAAGCAAGAACTCGAATTTGCCGCAGATAACTAAACGACAAAAAGAGCCGGTTGAAATCGATTGAAATCGGAAAATATTCCTGTTGAGGTGTAAAAGGCTACATGATCTCCAAGCTCCTCCCAGTTCTTTGTTCGCTTAAGCTAAATTTAAAATTTGTGATTTGTTTTTAAATTAAAACTGATAACTCTATATAGTTATGTCAACTGATTTATAGGTGTTGCTCCGTATTTTACCAAGTCTTTATTCCTAAAGACGGCTTTTAAAACAAGATGTTGTAACTAGCAACGAACGTAAGAAACCCCCGGCTAAAAGTGATAAATTGTTTAGGATCAGAAAAGTTCGTGGCAACCCCAAACAGATGGAATTGGATGTGCTTGTGATCTTTGAAGGTGTACTCAATAGTCACTGTTACAGACCGGCTTGTTACACAAGTATTTGGGCTCCGGGAATAAATTAAAGACATAAGGGTAACAAGTTATTAAGACGAAGACTTTAGAATGGGCCTTAATCCTTTTGTTTTGTTTGGCCTAAGGTCAACGTTTTACACTCTGCAAAGGCGTATAGTGACAAATAGTTACTAGTAGGCGAAACTGAATTTATTATAAGTCATGCTGAGTTTTCGCTGTACCCCGCAGATAAATTCAACGAATGTAACTATGACCTGAAACTAGCAAACTTCCAAATGGTACGAGTCGCAAAACAAGTTCGATGCTATTTTCTCTTGAAACACGTGCAAAACACATTGGTTCTTTGATGAATTATTCCACGAGGGTAGGAGCCAAAAATGCAGGAACCCACGATAACGAGCTAGGGAGGGACCATAACTCATGATTTGGACCCTTACAACTGAAGGGCATTTCACCAAACCAGACGAAAATTTTTCACATTCGACAGTCACAGACGTAATCATTTCGAAACTGGACGATGTTATAATTATCTAACATGTGGTAAAATTAAATTAGCAGCGACTTGTGCGGCACGGGAAACTCCACATCCGCCATGCAGCTCGAATGTTACAACCACTTGCAAAATCGTTTACGTAGGCTATCTTTTTCACCTAATATAATGTGTTTAACAGCTAATTCTGTTAGTGGCGAAAAGGAGAAGGAAACCAGTACATTCAATGACTAGAAAGATGGGGAATAAATCTCGCTGGACGAAGGACCGACTTTTGTGGACGGAGAAGCAAAGAGGAGGCAGTTTACCCGTTCAAGTTAAACCTAATTGCGTTGAGTAAACTTTCTAAAGAATTTTACCACGCTAACAATTAATGGGGAACTTGATATGTGATTGGCTCCTTGTGATTTGCACAGACATAGCAGGAAAGTTTAAAATGCACGCAAAAAAAACTTCTTAACAAGAATTTCTCTCCAAAAATTCATCAAATGTTATAAATAGCGAACTCGCCCGTGCTACGACAAACATACTATATCAACTTCATTCGGCTAACTTTTTTTACATATCTCAAAATGGCTCCATCTCACTAAGAATGTAGACCTATTTAATTAGTAAATGACTATATGAGAGCTGACCAAAACAAGATCCATATGCTCGGCTCATTAAATCATGAAGAGATGGACGATAAAACTGCAAGCAACTTCTTTTAAAAGAAAGAGCCATTTACACGTCCCTCCTAGCCTATTTAGTATCTCTTTATGCAGGCTTTAGTGTGATATGCCTTTGAAAACTATCAAAACTAATAGCAGGTACTATAATCTTATTACATGCAGTCCTACCATCACTGAGCTCTTCATTCGAAAAATCTACGAAATGTATCAAAATTCTTTTTTCAGAACTCTGAACTTCAGCGAGGTCGTATAAGTAAAGAACTGGAAAATATTGGCTTTAATCAAGGAAAGACAGAATTCCGCAAGGCAACTTTCTCATTAACCTAACTTAGGTGTGAACTACTGGGACAATTAAAGGATCATATTGAAAATGAAATCACATTGGTATAATAACTGATAACCATCTAAACTCGATAGGGAAAAGTCATACTTAGACTATAAACATGCGCAATTTGGACTGAAGGGCTGACAACAATAATCTTTGCTGAGCCAGCTGTTTTTAATCTCCCACGTCAAATGTTCCTCTTAGGTTTAAGAACGCGGATCGAAGATCGGTGTAATTTAACTAAAAGTAAATAGTAAGTAATGGTAATAACCTACCAGTCGGCCTGCCTCGTTATTGTGAAGGTTCATGAGATATCGGCTTGCCCTTTTTCGAGAGCGCATCTTTCTGTCCACGATGCCCCCGCGCGAACTGTACTCAGGTGCGTCGACGAACATCTTGGATAACTGTATTCCAAAGTTGATATCATCGTTACAACCTCCCCACTCCCATCCCCTCGCTGGCTGTGTTCTCTTTCTTCGCGTTTCACATGCGCATTCAGCGAGATGTCCAAGCCGGCACGATCTACTGGCCGCCTGAACTACGCCAGCTGATGTTATTGCATACACGAAGGCTGCCTCTCGACTTCCTGTCACGAGAGAGATGAAGCTTGTTAGGGCATCGGGGAAACTTTACAAGTGTTCTAATCAGTAACGGCATTCACTTACCTATGTTTATGACCTCGCCGAACACGGACGAGGAATTGGTGGTGGAACAATTCCAGCGCTCTTTTTCAAACTGTTTCTGACACTCAGAGATCCCCAGACTGGCCCCTTGCCTTAATGTAGGGATCAGGTCCGGCTTATTCTCGCAGACGTTTCTCTGCTGTGAGGACAAGTCAGGAACTCCACCACACGTTGTCAAGTTGCCATTGCTTCGAGTGCTAAGCGCCGAAATTCCCATCCACCTTGAAACAAGACAAGAAGTTAAACATGAGCAAGCTAGGTCAAAACCACGCAAGGATGATGTTCCCATCAAATTTGTAACGCTTCTGTTTTTGATTTCAATGAAAACAAAGTACACAAAAAGGAAAAAAAAGATACTAACATCCAGCTGGCAGTGGTTCGGTCTTGGCACAAGCTTAACAACAAAGTACAGACCACTAGGTACGGCCTCTTCATAATCTTTTCACGAGTTCTCCTTGGACAGCTATCACTTCAACAAGGTGCTCTCGAGACGTAAGTGTTCACACGTGATATTACAAACTGTTTCTCCACAGCTTTGCTTTTATCGCTATACTTCACGGCAGGGCAAGGCATTTCACCTGTCATCGCTAATGAGCAGGGCCGTTCCTGATTGGTTGAAACAAGTGACATCAGTCGGTTTGTTCTGACGCATGGGAAGGTAGAGGGGCGACCATGCTCACTAGATATTCCACCGAGCACATGGAAACAATTTGAAAACTGTTTTTCCTGGATGGAATTTCCCAAATATTTTCGCAAATTTGAGCTGCAGGGGTATTCTGGCGTTCACGTAGCAAGATGAAAATGGCAGTAAAATGTTCAATGCCTTTAATAGCTAAATTTCCGCTTAAGTGTTTATCGTTCGACAATGATTGTTTGTGTATCGCAGGGGGTGGGCGGAGAAAAGTAGCTAATTACAACTCAATTGATCAATCTGAATGATCTGAAGACATGTCAAGCCATATCTGGGACAAAAATCAGCCAGAAATATATAACGAAGGTCACCTGAAAAAATTAATCGATTATTCCGCGGCAATAATGTTAACTAAGCGCTAATATCTTCTAAAAGACAACACGTCTAATGCTAAGCGATAAAACGCATCAGACTGCGCGAATTCCGCACGTTTTTCACACGCAGGTCTCAAAAGCACAGCGCTGTTTTTTTTTTTATTTTTGTTAAGGTCAAAGCTGCGCCGATTGATTACAGTAAGACGGCTTTTCTTTTCTACAATTAAATGCAAAATAAACAGATGATAAAGTGCGCAATGTGCCGTGCACTAGTGTTTACTTGTGTCTTTTCAAACTCTGGCAGAGATCGACTTTGTTGCACGACCGACAGTACAAAAGGGGTTAAAAGGGCTCCCCGGACTTGCTGTTGTAAAGTTTTCCGGCATCGATAACGAACCGGAACGCGGAACGTAGCATACGTAACGGAAAGGAATTCTCATTACAAAGCAGTGATCAGTTCGATCTCACAATGCGACGATTTTCGTCCTCTTTTAAATAGTCACTGCAGATTTTTGATTAAACAAGCGCAATTGGTATTCGTCTCGTCTCGTCGCGTCTACATGAGCATCACCGTGCGAGGTGTTATGTATATTATATCCGATAACGAACCTTTTCTCAGAGCAGTGTTCGCCTTGAAGACAGTTAAAAGAACAAAAAAATCGGATTACCGTACTTGACTCTAGTATTTCCAATTATCGCACCTAATACGTTTAGACTCAAATAAAGAGTTAATTGAATAACAGAGTTTCCTTTCAACAGGACACTACAGAAAGCCTGAGCGCGAAAAACATGATCACTCGTCTGAAGAGATGATTGCGATCGATATCATCTCAGTAGCATGGCCAAAAACGTATTTCCGTACGGGGAAGCATTACCGAGGAACGAATCGGGGAGCGTGGTTTTAAGAGAACGCAGCAAAACGGCGCCGGGATACTGCTGCTGATCGTTTACTGCGCTGACAAATACAATGCAAAAGCTGATTATTCTTTAGTCGCAGAAAACGCTCTCAACACCTAAGTGTCTGTCATGGTAAACGTGGATTTGATCTGGTTAAACCACTTAAACAAGTCACTCAAATGATTATAGTAATGATAAGAAAGGGAGACCTCGCCTTCTTTGCTAGACATGCTTATCAAACACGCTATTTCATGCTTGACCATGCAATTGAGAAGATAAACTTGACAAAGAATCCTCTTGACCCTTGATTTATCAACATTTTCAGAGCTGAGTTAATCGTTTTATCACGCCCACTAAGCTCGCAGCGGATTTCTCTTGTAGAACATGCGATAAGGCAAAAACGCCGGATTTTAACAAAAATAACACAACCACCAACCACATTCTAGTCTTAAATTAGAAAAGTAAAAAAACATTTTGAGTATATTTAGGTCCTAACCAGTCACGATCTGGGCTGGTTTCGTGCAACAATGCGTCAAGCTCAGGAAGGCCGTTTATTTAGAGGAATCATACTTCTTATTAAAAATTCCTTTGGTCTTTAAATGTGCACAGCCATTTATTCACCGTTGCTATCTCTTGAAAACTCAGCATCTTAAGCCTGCATTTTTCTTTTCCAATAATTATACATGACTGTCGTTTTGTAAATAAACTTGTATACTTCATTTTTTCCTTTACTCTTGTTAGTGAGTTTTCTTTTATTAAAAGTGTCACTACTGCTGCCTCGACTAGCTGTCGACAAGCTGTTGCTAACCGAGGGCAGTGTTCGTTCTTTTTAGTAACACGCAGATATAACAAAGGAAAATAAACTTTTCAAGACTTCAACATGAAACTGATGAAACTTCGACAGAACAGAGTAGTAAAATAACTTTTTCATTTTTCAATTACATCGTATCCAATTGTACAGGAAAAACCTGTAAATTTATGATCAAAAAAATATCGAAAAAAATTAGCTCTAGAGACGTTTTGATTTTGCTCTAGGCGCCGGAGTCTTGCGTCGATGGAACGGGTCTTACATGTACATCTTTTCACTACAACAAAGATAGGCAAAAGCTCTAAAGAAAACCTTGGAATTTTAACAAGACGAGATAAAAAGTGATAAATCACATTTTAAACGCCAAAAAGAGGGCTGAAAATAGGTTTAAAAAGATATTTAAAAAGGTATTTAAAAAGATATTCGTGTAGCAGTATTTCGAGTGTTAAATGTAACTTTCGCAAACACGGTCATGGTGAACAATTTCTGCTTTGAGAATAAAAGATTTCCAATCAATCACATGGTTCACTGGCCACGTAAATTTTTCCAGGGGTCAAGTAAAAAATGCACAGATAGAAAAAAAGCAATAGTTAGAGCATCAATCATCAAAATGTGCTTTGAGAGGAGGAAAGGCAACGCACGTTGTTGTGACAGGTAAATCCAAGAATGTGTGCCAAGAACACGCCCAGCCTTTCAGACACCCCTTTCACAGACTTGGCATTTCTCCACCCAGACCTCAGTCAATGCTTATACGTAAATATGGTTTTCTCATTAAAAAGTTAAAGTACCCACGCGGTGAAATGTTTCTGCGAGCTGGCAAATGGAGTTATGCAATACCGGCGACAAATCCCTGATAGGGTAAAGGTTAACTTGCCCTGGGAGAGAGAGATGACTTTATATCGTAGCAACCGAATGATTACATTTCCAAGTTACAAACATCCCTCCCTCTCCCTCTCTCTCTCTTAACGGACTCCTCTAGAAGACGGACACCTTAAAGTTGGTCCCTACCTTTTTTCACCTCTGTTAGTTCACTATCTATAAGATGGACATCTCTCTAAGACGGACACTTACTGCCGGTCCCAAGGTGTACGTCTTAGAGAGAGTGTGACTATACCGCCAAAAAAAACGGAAGTGTTAATTCAGTGTTAAAAGTGTCAGTCTATTAATATTGAGCACATCGACGTCCAAGGTTAACTCGGGTTGGCAAAGATTTTCTTTCTTCTTTCATGCTTTTCTAACAGTCCACAAACAACGGATTTATCGAAATTTCGATCGATTTTTGAGACCAGGCGACCGTTAATTACAGGACCCGGAAAACTGTTTTACGTTTGCCGTGTTTGCACTCAAGATCAAGGTTTTATTAGCTTTAAAAGTAATGAAATAAAATTATCCGTTAAGGAAAGAAACTGGACTGGTTCGGGCAGGGTACCGAAGTTGCATAACATTCTTTAGATTTTGATCTTAAGATATGGCTGCGAGTCCAAGGTTGTTTGCCAAGAGTGATATCTAGAAAAATAATAAAAGAAATCTTAGGTAAACAACCGGCAGTTGCTTCGGCACTATGTCTCAAGATTATAACGCACTTAAAAAAACTTTTAAATATTTAATCAAACCTAAATATGGTGTTAAAGATGCAAAAACAATGAGGAAAATTGCCTCGATGAGAAAAACTCAAAGTTCTTTGAGAAAACAGTAATTTCACAATTAAGAACAAAGATTTAGCGAATGTCAATAACCTGATCAAGCCGCAGGTTTAGCGTAGGAATCTCATGTTAATTTTTTTTTCCTGGCTTCAACGCAACATCTGGGTTATTAATCCACTGCTTTCATTTCGTTTTTATTGTCCTTCAGCATATGGATTAGCAATTAATTAAACAGACATAGTTTACTATCTCATCAGTTTTCGAGATGGTAATTTGTCTACACCCCCTAACATAAGTTAGTTAAACATGCAAGAGGATATTCTTTATGTTCAATAATACAACGACCTCATTATCTTGTGTAGTCGGTTCCAAAAAACTTTTTGAAGAAAAACACCTCATTATCTTCGTGTAGTCTTTTTTGGCATAGGTTCCAGTAGGGACCGGCAGTGTCTAAACCATTTTTGAAAAAGGAAGGGACCAACTCACCGTCTTCTAGATTGACACTGTTTGATTGACACTATAGGACCACTTGACCAATATAATTTAAAATTTAACATTAAAAAGCACCTCTAGTAAATCGGAAGAAAGGTGGAACTCTTTTTTAAGAAAAGGTGCAATTTTTTAAATATGTCTTTAAAGAAAAAATATGGAACACTTTAGTTTCCTTCCCCAGTAATAATTTAGCTGGTTCATTTACTGACCCTCTGTGCCTTCAGCGTGATCAGAATCTAATTTCTCCTCATTATATCATTGCTTAATAAACGGAGAATGTTTTAAGAATAAAGAACACAATGACTTAAGATGAAATATCTTGATATTTTAGCCTGCATCGTAAGGAGTTATTTCGCGGAGCGCGAAACGGAGATTTTGTCGGGCACGAGGCGTGAGAATCGAGCGTGTAAACGTACAGATTACATAATGCGTGCTGGCAAATGCAAAGTGCTGCTGTGATCGCCACGGTGTCTCTAAATATATAGCGTAACCATTGCACAAAGTGAAATATAAGCTCTGCAATCGCCTCTAACGCTCATCACCTGTTCCCGGTTGGTC